GGGGGGAGGGTGAGGAGGAGCGAGGGGGTGACGGGACTGGTGGGGGGAATATAAGGCCATTGCCTACTTTCATGGGGTTCAGTGGAAAAGATTCATCCCTCTCCCTGGGTGTCGGGGTCAGGGCCCGGGCCCCACATTCCCCTTTCCTGGGAGGATGACTCCAGTCCACTTCCCTAACCGCAATCCACATTGTTACCATAAAAATTGGATGGGTATATATCGAGGAAAGGTTTGGAGGGATAGGGACTAAATGGGACTAGGTCAGACTGGGATGTCTGTTCGGCGTTGGACCGAAGGGTCTGTTTCCATGCTGTATGACTATATGAGTGCCAGGCAATGATCATCTCTAATAAGGAACTATCTTAACTATCACCCCTTGACATTCAATACTGTTACTTTCACTGAATCCCCCATTATCAATTTCCTGGAGGTTACCATTGACCAGAAACTCAACTGGACTAGTTATGCAAGTATTGTAGCTACACGAACTGTTCAGATGTTAGCAATACTCTAGTGAGTAAGTAACCCATCTCGTGGCTTCCTAAAGGCTGTCCACCATGTACATGGCACAAGTTAGGAGTGTGATGAAATCCCCAAACATCACTTTCACCGTCCAGTGCCTCCACCACCAATGCTCTGTACCATCTATGCACTGCAGAAATTCACGAAAGGTTTTTTGATGGCACCTTCCAAACAAACAATCACTACCACCTCATAGGATAAGGGAATTAATCCCTGAAAGCCATGCTCCATCCTGAATTGGAACAATAGCGATATTCCTTTCACTTCAGTGGGCCAGAATTTTGCAACTGTCGACCTGGCCAAGATATTTTCACTTCTGTGGGTCACAGGAATGGGGGACAAAAATAAACTTTCCTGTGGACGTGGGAGGAGTTTATCTGCGTACTCGGTCAGACACCAAGCTGTACCATCTATCCAGACTGAAAGTGGAGATGAAACAACAGCTCATCTTTTTATCAGGAAACTCCTCAATGCTGATGATGTTGTGCAAGTTACTCTAATAGAAACCCAGCTGCAGAGACTCAGGGCTTGTCTCTCTCATGCCTGTAACATATTCTTCCTGACTGTTAAGCATCAAGAAAACCATGGTTATGAGATAGGATGCCACATCTCTATTCATGATCGCACTAAAAAATGTCCCTCTCTATTCGTGAGCAAATTCTGCAACCTTAGGTTCACAATGAAAAACAACCTGCCTCGTTGCTCAACAACTTTCACTTTAGTATTTGTTCCGCATTCCAGTCACTTCTGCGAAAAGTAATGACAATAACGAATGTGGCAGTTCTCTCAAAGGCCAATCTCTCAAGTATATTGGCAGCTATCAAACATAGGTAACTTTGTGAGCTCATGCACATTCACAGGATACAAGACAAAAGATGATTTTATGCATGGCAAAGTAGGCAAATAATGAATAGGATGCCTGAAGCCCTTCACGTGTGAGATGAAAGCTGTAAATGTCAACTTTTAAGTGGAAAATACTGGTATGTGTTATAATGCCAGTTGGTAGCTACAGCATCTTTGCATTGGGCACCAGCACTGAAGACAATCATTTGCAACCTCATTCAATAACCACTTCATATATGGCACTGTTTAGCCCTTTGAACCTGATCTCCAATCCAATAACATCGTACCATAACTTTCACTTCAACTCCACTTTTCTCCCCCCTTATACCTTTGGATCCAGGAGTGCTTTGTTTAAAGTGTGCCAAATATGTGGAAGTCAATCTTAGAAGGACAGGCTGACAAGAATAGCACAGATATAATTTTGGGCAAGCTGGATAAACATGAGAGGAATAAAGGATTACAAGCTAACTGAGCTGGGAGATGGTAGACAGTGTTAATGCATGAGTCCAAGCTTTGTGGGCAAAATGGCATGTTTATGTTGTGTAAATACCATCTAATTCATTGTGACTTTGGGGAAGTAGTAGAGGGTCTACACAAATGATAACTCCCTCCCCACTAGTTCCAGAATTTTTTGCCCACTTTTGAGTTTCCACCCTTCGGTGTAATGATGGGATTCTGTGTTTTGCAGTGATTGTGACGTGACCGTCGATGTGGAGACGGTGATTCCAACACCGACCCCCCTGTATGATAACCAGAAGGCTCGGAGTGTAATGAACGAATGTGAACGCCATGTCATCTTTGCACGGACGGACACAGATGCTCCTCTGCCACCTGATGACTGGGAGGATCACATTAACAGGTGACTACCTTCTACCGTGTCCACATGTGATCTGGGTGACTCCTGAGATGGGGCAGTGTCTGGGGATGGAAAGTACTGGATAATAGCATTCTTATTGCAACAAATGCACACATGCGAGCGTGGTGAGCCCATGCCTTTCTGTGTTTTCAGTGAGCACATTGCATCTCTGATTCAGCACAATTTTGAACTGTTTGCAGGCCATTGGCATGTGGTTGATAGGGGCTTGGGATTTGGTATGATTAAAGATGTAGGTGATGAACTTTGAAGTCAGATAGTCTCACATGGTCAGCGGGTAGAATATGGGAGAGCAGCTGGGGTGTTTAATTATAGAGAAGCATAGAGGTGATGAGAGGTTCTGCAGCAAATGAACGGCCAGATGAAATTGTGTGATATAATGGAGGTGGAAATGGCTCATTTTAGCAATGGCGTCTGTGTGCAGTCAGAAGCTCACCTTTGGGTCAAATCTGCGAGCAGATTAGTTTAATTTCAGACTATAGGCATGGAGAGAGATGGCATCTGCTGCTAGGCAACCCATTTGGAGCTTGACTGAAAGGAATGGCTTCAGTCTTTTCAATACGTCAGGGATGAAAAATTTTGGCTGTTTGCATGATATCTGATTTTTCAAGTTTGAAATTCCATGCTTGCAAATGAGTGCCCATCCATATTTGGTAGTGATCTATTTGCACTGTGCAATTAGACCCAAACTCCATCCTCTGTCACTCGGGCTTGCACCCTGGACCCCTGCAGGGTCGATGGTGAGTGAGGAAGAAGAGAACAGCACAGGCAGAGCCGCTGCTGGTTTGGCCAGTGGGAAGTTGCTGTGGGGAGAATGAAGCTGTGCAGGCCAAGTCCCTGTGCGATCGTGCGGGTGGTGGCAGGCTTTTGGTGACTACCATGTGAATGGACAGGGTGTTGGGATGAGGGATTCCTGGATCAGCAGTCTGACTGTTTGGGAATTGGGGTAAGGCAGCGTTAATTGGAGGAGCATAAGAGGTGGAGGGGAGAGTGGCTTCACTGAGTCTTTTGTCACCAGGGATTAGGGAGAGTTTGGCTGAATCTGCCTTGAAGATATTTTACTAAGTGTTTGAAGAGCAAAGGCTTTTGTAATTATATCATTCAGGAGGGTTTCTTGCCACAATATATGAACAGTCTAACCAGGGAACGGGTTATACTGGACCTGATTTTGGGAAATGAGCCCGGGCAGTGAAGTTTCAGTGGGGGAGCATTTTGGGCGTAGTGACCATAATACCATGACTTTTAAGATACTCATGGATAGGGATAACAGCAGTCCTCGGATGAAGGTGTTAAAGTGGGGGAAGGTGAACTACAACAATATTAGGCAGGAACTGGAGAATGTTGATTGGAAGCGGCTGTTTGAGGGTAAATCCACATTAGACGTGGGAGTATTTCAAAAGCGGCACGTTCTTGCGAGAATGAAGGATACGTATGGCAAGTTATGTGAACCTTGGATGACTAGGGATGTTATGACCTTGGTGAGAAAGAAATAGGAAACGTACATAAGGTCTCTGAGGATGGTAACTGAAGAAGCCCTTGATGTATATAAGGAAAGTAGAAAAGAACTTAAACAAGGAATTAGAAGGGCTAAACGGGGTCATGAAAAGTCGTTAGCAAACAGGATTAAGAAGAATCCTGAACAAAAACAGTAGTTGTTGGAAGCTCAGCAGGTCTGGCAACGTCTGTGAAGAAAAAAATCAGAGTTAATGTTTTGGGTCCAGTGACCCTTCCTTAGAAGTCGAAACATTAACTCTGAATTTTTCTTCACAGATGCTGCCAGTCCTGTTGAGCGTCCAGCAACTTCTGATTTTGTTCCTGATTGACAGCATCTGCAGTTCTTTCAGTTTTTAAGAAGAATCCCAAAGCTTTTTATACATATAGAAAAAGCAAGAGAGTAGCCAGGGAAAGGGTTGGCTCACACAAGGACAAAGGAGGGAACGTATGTGTGGAGCCAGAAGAGGTAGGTGAGGTCTTAACCGAATACTTTGTGTTGATATTTACCAAAGAGAAGGAATTGGAGAATGATCTCATGGGAGGTAGTGTCAAATTTCTAAGCTGAGTTGCTATTAAAAAGGAAGAGGTGTTGTGTGTCTTAAAAAGTATTAAGGTAGATAAATCTCCAGGTCCTGAAGGGATCTATTCCAAAATATTGAGGGAGACAAGAGAACAAATTGCTGGAGCATTGATAGACATCTTTGTATCCTCTTTGGCCACAAACGAGGTCCCAGAGGACTGGAGAACAGCCATTGTTTTCCCATTGTTTAAGAATGGTTACATGGATAATCCAGGAAATTACAAGTGTGTGAGCTTCACGTCAATGGTAGGGAAATTATTGGAAAAGATTCTCGGACAAGATCTATCTGCATTTAGAAGCAAATGGACTTATTTGTGATAGACAGTGTGGTTTTGTGTGGGGGAGGTAATGTCTCAGTAACTTGATTGAGTTTTTTGAGGAGGTGACAAAGATGATCGATGAGGGAAAAGCAGTTGTCTATATGGACTTCAGTAAAGCCTTTGACAAGGTCCTTCATAGCAGACTGGTCCAAAAGGTGAAGTCACATGGTAAGATGGATACAGAACTGGCTTAGTCATAGGACACAGAGCGTACTGATGGATGCTTTTCGGAATGGAGTGTTGTGACCAGTGGTGTTCCACAGGGATCAGTGCTGGGACCTCTGCTTGTGATCAACATAAATGATTTGGAGAAAAACGTAGTTGGTCTAATTAGTAAATTTGTGACAATACAAAGGTTGGTGCAGTTGCAGATAATGAGGAGGTTTGTCAGAGGATACAGTAGGATATAGATCAGTTGGAGGCGTGGGCAGAAAAATGGCAGATGGAGCTTAATCTGGACAAATGTGAGGCGATGCATTTTGGAAGGTCACATTGGAAATCATACAGCGAATGGCAGAATCCTAAGGAGTATTGACATGCAGATGGACCAGGGTGTGCAGGTCCACAGTGATCTGAAGGTGGCAGCACAGGTAGATAACGTGATTAAAAAAGGCCTGTGGTGTGCTTGCCTTCATTGGAAGGGATTTTGAGTATAAAGATAGACAAGTTACACTGCAGCATTATAGAACTTTAGTTAGCCCACGCATGGAATATTGCACACAGTTCTCGTCACCACATTGCCAGAAGGATGTGGATTCTTTGGAGAGGGTACAGAAAAGGTTTACCAGGATGTTGCCTGCTATGGTGGAGTTTATCAATGAAGAAAGGTTGGAAAGACTGGGTTTGTTTTCACTGGAATGCAGGAGGTTGAGGTGCGACCTGATAGAATTTTGAGATTATGAATGGCATGGATAGAGTGGAAAGTATGAGGCTTTTTCTCGGGGTGCAGGGGTCAATTACTAGGGGACACAGTTTCAAGGTATGAGGGGGCAAGTTTAAAAGAGATGTATGAGGCACGTTTTTCACACAAAGGGTGGTGTGTTCCTGGAACACGTTGCCAGAGGAGGTAGTGGAAGCAGACACAATAGCTGCATTCAAGAAACACCTGGATGAATACATGAATAGGAAGGGACTAGAGGGATACGGATTCTGTAAATGAAGACAGTTTTAGTATGGAAGGGCAAAATGTCTCGGCGCAGGCTTGGAGGTTCGAAGGACCTGTTCCTGTGCTGTACTGTTCTTTGTTCTGTTTATGGTTATATGTTGATACCTTGTATATGTTGAATGTTATGCTGCTTTATTTCTGCAGGTATCTGGAGCCACATGAGTCGAAGAGTTATTTTTTATTTCTGGGAGATGGTGTTGTTACCAAGCATTTAGAAGTTGAAAGTGAGGTAAAATGAAATGTCAAAAATCAAGGGATTACCTGATTGAGGTATATCAAGGGGTTGGTAGGATAGACAGTGCAATGATAGTGTCTGTCTAGAATTTCAAGCAAGTACAGAGGCAGAGAAAACACACGTGATTGGTTTGGTAGAGTGAAAGAGGGAGAGATTACAAAAGACTAGACATACATTTCCTAGAGTTCAGGAGAATGAGAGGGGCTCTCCTTGCAATGTAACACTCTTCAGAGGTTGTGAGAGTAAATGCAGCGAAAAGAGTTGCCCTGGCTGGACAGTCTAGGACACAGGGTCATGGACTTTGGGTTGGGGATTTAGGACTGAGATAAAAATAACTGCTGTCAGTCCAAGCGTTGAGTTTCTTTGGAATTCTCTACTTTTGGAGGATTGACAGTTATTGAGGATGTTCATACTCGAGGTTCAATACTTTCTCAGGTGGTAAAAGATATGGAGATGCTGGGAGAGGCTGCATGAAGATTCTGGGAGAGGGTGCAGTTGAGGTAGATCTAATTGAGTGGCAGAGCTGATTCCAAGGGCCAAATGATCTGTTCCAACTTGTGTCTGAAGTTCTGAATGAACAGAGAGTGGTCAAAACAATGCTCGCTTGTATTATGATCAGTGAATGAAGTGGAGGTGATGGTAGTGGTATTATCACTAGACGATTCATTCAAAAATTTAAGAAACATTCTGGAGACAGGAGTTCGAATCCTCCCGTGACAAATGAATTTGAATTCAATAAATATCTGGAATTAAGAGTCTAATGATGACTATGAAATCATGGTCAATTGTCAAGGAAAATCCCATCTGGTTCACTTATCTCTTTCAAGGAAGGAGACTGCCATCCTTATGTGGACTGGCCTACAAGCACTCCACACTCACAGCAATATGATTGACAGTTAACTGCACTCTGGACAAATAGGGATGGGTAATGAATGTTGGTCTGGCCAGTGATGCCCACGTGCTGTGAACAAAGGATAAACGAATACAAAGGGTTTAGTGGGATATGGGCCAAATGCTGGCAAATGGGACTAGATTAATTTAGGATATCTTGTCAGCATGGTGAATTGGACTGAAGGGTCTGTTTTCAAGCTGTACATCTCCATGAATAAAAAAAAACACTAAATTGAGACGAGCACGAATCAATTCCTGACTTACATAGAAGGAGTGTTTGAACGTTGAGGAAGGAGGACATAAAAAGACAATTTGAGTATCTTCTTTTGCATGGGAAGAGAACTGTATTGTCATTAATACAAGAGTGAAACAGAAAGGGACTCAGAAGGTGTGCATGGTATGAAATTATTGGAGTTGGTGCTATATTCTCTTCTTGCCTTAATCTGGGAAATTGCATGAACTTTGCTTTAATTTCTTCTATTGTTTGTGGTCTGGAGCTCCTGCCTTCTTCTGTCGAGAATTCTCTCTCCCATTTTGGGATCATGTGTAAAGATGTATTGTACATTGTTAGTGTGTGGGAATTTGGGTTTTAAGCTGGAGTTAGATTAGATGGGTAGTTTCAATCCTGTGAAGGTTAGATTTTGTTTTTCTTTTTGAAGGGGTCAGAAAGTCATTTGGAAAATGGAACAAGGCATAATTTTGAAGAAGAATAGGATTTAAGTTAAGCGCTTAGGATATTTATGGTATTACTTACAGAAATGTTTACAAGTGTGAACACAGAAAGCAATGTGTCAATATTTTGAGGCGTATTTTGTCCTTTTTTTTGGAGAGGTTTTAAGGCAGAGGTGGCAAGCTGTGAATTGAAAACCAATAAAGTAAACAACTTTTGAGGCTTGGGGTTTTTTAAAGTAGGAACAATAGAAGCAGCCCGAATGGGTGGAGTCGAGCTCCCCAGAACCAGGATTTTTGGTTTTAGTGTTTCAATAGCAATTGCTGGGTCTTGAAGCTACAATACATCTCTCCCTGCTACACACTCTCTCTCTCGCGCGCTCTCGCTCTGTTTTTTTCATGATTTGTTTTTTCTTCCTGGACTGGAGAATTGCCTGAGACAATGTATTTTTATGAACTTACCTCTTTCCAATGGTGTGTTTATGGGATGTGACTGTATTGAAACAGTTAATTGGCAGTAGTTAATAATCTTATTATGTTAAATTTTCCAATAGAATTCAGTTATTCTAATTTCTTCCTCCTTTTGTCGTACTTTAACTATAGTTTATAAATAAACTGTGTTTCGTTTCAAACCTGGTAGTTTGACCAGTCAAATTCCATCCGGAATGCAACACCTGCCACTTCCCTTTAAAATAAGAAATAGTTAGGGTTTGGGCTATCACCTAAATACATTTTGAGAGGGGTTTCGTCTGGTCCACAACAACAGACCACAGCCACGTGTGATTTGAGTTCAGTTTCGAACAATCCGGTTTTGCAGAGCAGAAGGACAGATTAGTTTGTAAAGTCTCCAAACTGATTGTTTGTGTAGAAGGTTTCAAGCTGACAGAATTGAAAAATAATTTGGGCTATATGCACTGAAAGAAATCTATTGGCTATCAAAACCAAAAAAGAAATCCACATTCTCAGCTAGAAATAAATATCAAGGGAATCAACTGGTAAGAGTCAGTTAGGTAAGAATTTTGGAGAGTTGAGATTGAATAATAATATCATACTGTACAGAAGAGACCATTCGACCCATTGAGTCTATACCGACAAATATTACTCTATCTACATTTCAGCAGCCATAGCCTTGAATGTTATGACCTTTTCAAGTGCTCATCCAAGTACTGTTTAAACGTTGAGTTTTTCTGCCTCAAGTATCCCCTCAGTAGTACATTCCAGATTTCATTACCATCTGGGTGAAAATAAAATTCCTCAAATCTCCTTGAAACCTGCTCTTCACCTTAAATTTATATCCCCTCATTATTGACCCATCAATGAAGGGGATCAGCTACTTTCTGTTCACCCTGTCTGCACCCCTCATCATCTTATACACCTCTATGGGGTCCCCTGTCAGTCCCCTCTGATGGTAGGGTTGATGTTTCACTGGGTTGAGAACCTGTTAAGTATGTTACTGGGGAAAGGGTGAAACATTGCTGCTTAAGATCTTTCTAAACTGTCTTATACTTGTATAAATTTTTGTTCTTTTGTTAAAGAACATTGTGAGTCTTGTGTGTAAATATGTTCTGTCATGAGCCAACATGGTAACAAACTTCAAAATTAACCTTATGATCTGTTAAGCTAGGTCTCACTCTGAGATCTGATTTGACCTCTGTTATTAACATTAGCTGGGATCATATGAATTTAAATCTGAGAGATCCCTCTGACTCCCACAACTGCTCTTCCTCACACTGGGCTCATTCCCAGTTTCTCTGTCTCCATTGCACCTTCTTCGACAGTGAGTGCCACATTCATTGGTTGGCAGCACCATTATGTTGTGTCTGTTTGACTTCAACAGATTTGTGTTTTCCACCTTCTCACTCCTCCCCTGAAATCTGAATTGGTCGAAGAGGCTCAAAGGTGGACAGCTTCTGCCCTTTCTTCTTTCCATGTTTGACTTGATGATTTCCGTCATGATGTTAATGGTCTTCTCCAGTCTTAGTTGTACCAGTGCGTGAGGTCCATTTATACTGTATCTGTTCTCCAGGTTGGGATGGACTGCAACTCAGAACAAACTGTTCAACAAGGTTGTGAAGGCATTGTATTCCGATCGCTTGGCAAGACTGGCAAATGAGGGGGTGAGTAGTGTGTGATTTTGAAACTTGGTGAATGTTTGGCGTGTCATGCCCTGAGTGCTGCCATCCCTTTCCCTGGCTACCACTACCCCCATATATGAAAGCTGTTCATTGGATGGTGAGGTGAGGGATGAGCTTGATTGAACCCTGGAGAATGGTGCAACCAGATTTACTGTCAGCTGAGCCACGGCAGAATCTAAACATTGGGAGAGCAGTCTGATGTTGCAGTCAGTGGCTGTCAGTGTGGGGATACCCAGAGGACTTGAAGGGTTAGTGGTAGCTCTGTTAGTTTATACTGGTATTAGATCATCCCTCTCTATTCTACTGAGATCATGAAACCTCAGTATGGAAAATATTTGGCTATAGACGAAAAACAATAAAGCCAAGACTTCACTTGTGTGAAAGGTGTTCAGGTCTCTAGCCATAACCATACAGTAGAACAGAATATGAAGGAAGAAACAATGGGAGTTGTTGGAATGGTGCTGCGATAATTATGGGGAATTTAAACTTGCACATAGACTGGAAAAAGCCAGATGGGAGCATGTAGCTGAAAGAGGATTTCACAGAATGTTTTCGGGATCATTTCTGAGAACAGCACATTGTGTATCTGTCTAAAAATCAGTCATTACTAGACCTGAAATTCAGTGAGAAAGGATTCATTAATGACCTTGGAAAGGTTCAGAGGAGATTTACCAAGATGTTGCAGGGTATGGAAGGCTTGAGTTATAAGGAAAGGCTGGATAGGCTGGGACTTCTTTCACTGGTGCATAGGAGGTTAAGAGGTGATCTGATAGAAGTTTATAAAACAATGAGAGATGTAGATAGAGTTGTTGATAGTTGTCTTTTCCCTAAGATGGGGAATCTCAAGACTAGGCGCCACATTTTTAAGGTGAGAGGAGAGAGATTTGGAAAAGACATGAGGCAAATTTTTTACACAGGGTGGTTTGCATGTGGAATGGACTTCCTGATGAAGTGGTGGATGTGGGTTCAATTACAATGTTTAAAAGACATTTGGATGCTTATATAAATAGGAAAAGTTTGGAGGGACATGGGCCAGGAGCAGGCAAGTGGGACTAGTTTAGTTTGAGATTATGTCCAGCATGGACTGGTTGGACCAAAGGGTTTGTTTTCGTGCTGAATGACTATGACTATGACTTTGTCATGAAGGCATCCTAAGGTAACAGTGTTTAAAATATGATTGAATTTCAGTTTGGGGAAGAGAATAGTGGGTGAAAGACTAGTATTTTAAACTGAAGGACAATTATGAAGGCAAATTTAGTTTAAGGGTTAAGTTATTGGAGAGACGGGCAGGCATTAAGGGATACTTTTAATACACAAAACAGATGTTCTGCAGTGAGGAAGAAAAGTCCCAAGGGACAAATTCACCATTTGTGGTTAACTAAAAAGTATCAGACTTAACGACAAAGCATGTAAATGTGCAAAGATGGGTCACAGCTCTGAAGGTTGGAAAAAATATAAACTCAATGAAGAGTGTTGAAAAGATGAGAAAGGAGGAAAAAAAATTAGAATATGAGAAAACAAGCTGGAAACATTTACTATAACAAAGTGTAGAGCTGGATGAACACAGCAGACCAAGCATCATCAGAGGAGCAGGAAAGCTGATGTTTTGGGTCTAGACCCTTCTTCAGAAATGCTCCTGCTCCTCTGATGCTGCTTGGCCTGCTGTGTTCATCCCGCTCTACACCTTGTATATATCAGATTCTCCAGCACTGGCAGTTCCTACTATCCTAGAAACATTTACTGTCTGGTTTTATAATTCAGGCTTGTTTTCTCTCATTCTAATTCTTTTCTTGTTTCCCATCTCTTCGCCATTCTTTGAGTTTATATTTTTCACAATTTTGTAAATGACCTGAACAGACATAAAAGCAAAGGTCTTTTCCAAAAGCCCACAACTTGGTGTGTCTACAAGTCTATTTGGGTCTGCTTTCAAAATACCTTCAATTTTTAGGTCTTTTCTGCTTTTGGACATGTGAAGAAAGGATACCCAACCTGTATTTCAAAAAGAATGAGTTAACAAGTGAGCCTCAGTCCCCTCTAAAGTGAGTCTGGGCAATTAATAATGAAAATAAAGAGATGGTAGACGTATTGAACAGGTCTTCTGCATTGGTTTTCCCTGCAGAGGATGCAAGTTACATTGTAGAAATAACTGTCAATCAGGAAATGGAAACAAGGGACGGATTCAAGGAAATTGTTGGAGCTGCAGGCTGTCCAGGGCCAGAGTCTTAAAATAAGTGGCTCGTGAAACAGTTGATGCATTGTATGTTTTAAAAATTCATTAGATCCAGGGAATAACCCATTATATTGGAAAACAGCAAGTATAATTCCTTCATTTGGAAAAAGAGGGAGAGATAAAGCAGGAACTTAGCTACCACTTAGCTTACCAGCTGTCAGAGAACAAATGCTGAAACCTGATTAAAAAATGTTAACAGAGAACTTCAACAAGGGTTTTATGTTAGGGGAATTATGTTTCACCCATTTATTGGAATCTCTGAGGCAGTGAGATGTGCTGTGGATAATGGGGAGCCAATTGGTGGATGTATTGCACTGCAATTTTCTAAAGACAAGTGATGTGGCATCAAAGGGCTATTGTAGAAAATAAAACCTCATGGTATAGGGAACAACATAGTGGCTAAGTAACCTGAAACAGAGTTGGTGTGAATGTGTCTTTTCCCAGCTGGAGAAATGTAATGAGCAGCCTTCTACAGGGAACAGTGCTGGGGTTAGACTTTGGATTTTTCTTGTCAATGATGTGGAAGAAGAAATTGAAGTTATCGTTGCTAAATTTGCTGATGGCACAATGAAAGATAGAAAAGTAATTCATGCCGTGGAAATAACAAGCCTACAAAGGGTTATAGGTAGGTTAAATGACTGAAGGGTGATCTCGCATATGGAGAAAATATGGGAAAATGTGAAATGGTCCATTTTGGGAGAGAATTATAAATAATCTTGTTATCTAAATAGTGAGAGACTGCAGAAGTCTAAGATAGAAACATTGAATCCCTGCAGTGTGGAAGCAGGCCATTTGGCCCATTGAGTCCACACTGACCCTCCAAAGAGCACCTCAACCAGACCACCCCTTACCCCATTCCTGTAACCCTGCATTATACATGGCTAATCCACCTAGCCTGCACATCCCTGGACACTATGGGCTATTTAAGCTATCAGGAGAGGTTGAATAGGCTGGGGCTATTTTCTCTGGAGCGTCGGAGACTGAGGGGTGAGCTTGTAGAGGTTTATAAAATCACGAGGGGCCTGATTGGGGTAAATAGACAAGGTCTTTTCCCCGGGGTGGGGATGTCCGAATCTAGAGGGTATAGGTTTAAGGTGAGAGGGGAAAGATTTAAAAGGGACCTGAGGGGCAATGTTTTTGCGCAGAGGATAGTGTGTCTGTGGAATGAGCTGCCAGAAGATGTGATGGAGGTTGGTACAATTAAAAAATTTAAAAAGGCATCTGGATGGGTATATGAATAGGAAGGGTTTAGAGGGAAATGGGCCAAATACTGGCAAGTGGGACTAGATTTATCTGGGATATCTGGTCGGCATGGGCGAGTTGGACCGAAGGGTCCATTTCCATGCTGTACATCTCTATGACTCCATGACTGTATTTAGCATGGCCAGTCCATCTAACCTGCATAATTTTGGACTGAGGGAGGAAACCGGATCACCTGGACGAAACCTCTGCAGACACAGAGAATGTGCAAGCACCACACAGACGGTTGAATGAGGGTGTAGTCGATCCTGCGTCCCTGGCGCTGTGAAGCAGCAGTACTAGCCACTGAGCCACCACGCTCGTGACTTTCCAAGACTTCCCTTTCCATGTCTCCTCTAAATCTAGATGCAGAGAGATCCATGTATCCTCCTGCACGAATGGCAGAAGGTTAGTATGCAGACACAGCAAGTAACCAGGAAAGCTAAAAGAATGTCATCATTTATTGTGAGAATTTGCAGATGCAAAAATAGAGAGGTTATGCTTCAGTCATACAGGGCATTGCCGAGACTATATCGGGAGTACTGTGCGCAGGATAAGGAAGGACACAAATGCGTTGAAAGCTGTTCAGAGAAAGTTTACTGTACTAATACCTAGAATAGGTGGATTGTTTTTTAAGGAGAGGTTGGTCACACTAGGCTTGTATCTGCTGGAGTTCAGAAGAATAAGAGGCAAGTGATTTGAAACATCTAAGATCCTGAGGGATCCTGGGTGAATGTAGAGAGGATGTTTCCTCTTGCGGGAGAATCTAAAACCAGAAATCATTGTTTAAAAACGAGGGGTCACACATTTAAAACAGAGATGATGAGCGTCTTTTTATCACAGAGATCATGAGCCTGTGGAATTCTGTTCCTGAAATGTTGCCGAAACTGGAGTCCTTGAACATTTTGAAGGCAGAGGTGGATAAATTTTTGACAAACAAGGGAGTGAAAAGTTATCAAGGATAGGCATGAATGTGGCATAATCAGGTCAGTCATGATCTTGTTGAATGGTCCCGCAGGCTCAACAATATGGGTGGCCTGTTTCTGTTCCTTGCTGGTATGTTTGCACATCTTTTTAGTTGTCACACAGATGGAATGCTCAATTCTATTCCTGATGATGCAGCATGGCAGAAGGGATATTAGAAGCAGGGCTTCTTGAGTTTGTTCAGACTCCAGTTGTAGAACTAAAAATCAACAAGGATACTGTCTCACACTGACCCCAATTGGGAGGGAATGGGAATGCAGGGTTCAGGGATTTCTCATGCCTGGAGAAAATGTGCTGTGTTGAATCTCAAAGTGAAACTGAGGTCATTGTCCTCAGGCCAGTAATGAACCAGTTCTACGGAGGATCGCGGTGGACAAGTGTGCTCGACGTGTTCGACAGGCCCTTGCCTGTGTCAGCTGGGACACCAAGTTAACGCAATGGCTGCACACAACGCTGGTGGAAACCCTGAGCCTGCCCATGCTGGCAGCATACTTAGATGTGCTTCAGACCCTGAAATGCAAGGTATGTATGACAGATTTTACACATTTGCAGATACATTCTATTTTGTTCAAAAAGCACATAATTTGTAGACAAAGTCAGTCAATTGGGTATTTTATAAATTCCTGCCTTGGAAATAAAACCAGTCTGACACCAGGTTGAAGCATAGACAGATTCTAAAGAAGGCCTTACACCTAAAATTCGTTGCATGACCTGAGATGTCATCTGTTGTATACGTTATATAAAACCGTTAGTTATCTCGGGGCAGTGACTTGAAAGAAATTCTGAGATTTGCATTTTAATCAATTGAAACCTGCATCTCCTTTCTAACTGATTAAAGATTTAATACGAGGGAGTCAGCCAGCCATTTTAGATTTATTCAGTACATTCACATCAGTTGTATGATATTTTGATATTTTACTTATAAATTCTGTGTCTTGGTGCCCCTGTCACTACACCAACCACTAAACCTGTTAGACTATAACCTGGTGTCATGTGATTTTTGACCTTGTCCAACACCAGCACCTCCACATCATTTGCACGTGGAGAAGTTAACTGCATGTAATTGGTGAAAGATAGACTAGCATTTGTCCTGAGACCAACCTACTTTCCAAGTTGTACAGCAGTGCAGCAGCAAATTAGCACGTGGCAAGCTCCAGTGTACAGCACAATACTGCTGACTGAGTAATCTTGATGTTGGTCAAGAAATTAATATAGGATCCCCCTGATATTGTTCCACTGTGAGAAATCTTTGCATCTGAGAAGATGAACATGGTCTCCGTTGTGCACTTCAGGAAGGCAGAATGTGCAGCACTGAAGTGTTTCCTCAGTACTGACAGTGGAAAGTATCCATCAAGATTTTGTGTCAAGTACATGGAGTGGGATATGAACATACAATCTTGCAATGGTGAAATGAGAGGGCTTCCCACCGAGCTATGATTGACACTGAAAGCCCAGCTGGAAAACAGTTGAAGGTCATGAAGTTTGAGTCTGTAATTGGGCCTGACAGTGGGGGTATTATACTGTCAGCGAGTCAGTGCCATGCTGCCAGAGAAAGCACTGCTCAATACCGAGAGCTGTGTCTTTGATTTTACAGTTTCAATGTCCTTTGCTACCTGAACTGCTTCATTCAAGCTGAAACCCAATTTACTCTGTCTTTCTGACAGAATTTCAGACTCTTCTTTTTTTGGTGTATGTGGCATCCAATTGACACGTACTTGAGCTTTTCAAACAATTCCGTTATTTATAGAGGAAGCGAATGGTCAGAAATTGTTTTCCATCTGGCTTGTATGACACCATTATTCTGGCTCAAACAAAGGATAGACTTGGGTACTACTTGAATGTTGAGAAACTTGAAACTATGGAAAGAGACTTGAAAGATCGAGGCATCTGGATCCCAAATTTTATGGCTAGGTTCAAAAATTAATCAGCAAAACTACTAAAATGTTGGCCTTCATATCAAGAGGATGAGAATCCATGAGGGTAAAGTCATGAGTCCTGCGATCCAGTGTTACACAATACTTGGAATACTGTGAGCAGTTTTGGTGTCGCACCTTGGAGATTGTGTGTGCGTGGGCTTGAAGAGAGTGCATCATTGAGTTAGCTGAACTGAATGGGTTAAAATAAAAGGAGCAATGACACCAAGTTTGCTGATATGCTTCCTTTCAGGTACCAACGTTAATTGATAAAATGATCATCTCCTCCACCACCAAGTCGGGAGCTGCTGGGGCTGAAGCCCTGTCCTTGCTGTTGAAACGACCTTGGGATCCTGCTGTAGGAGTGCTTTCCCATAACAAACCAGTGAGTTACACATCCGCAGGGAAAAATCGTTAATTGCATAGAAGGCCTGAGGCTGGTATTTCCTCTATTGCCGGAATTGCATCGTTATATAAGACTTAGGAGCAGGCGTAAACCATTTGATCCATAAAACCTGCTCAAATATTTACTTAAATCATGGCTGATTCAACTCTCCTTTTTCCTTATGTGTCCCCATAACCCTTGACTTCCTTGTTAATCAAAAATCCATCAAACTCAGCTTTGAATAAATTCAGTGACCCTGCCTTCACTGCTTTCCAGGAAGAGAATTCAACAGGGTAATGACCTTCTGAGTGAAACAAAATCTGAACAGGAGAGCTTCTCTTCTTAAGCTGAGTCCTGTAGCTCAAGTAGCCCCCACATGAGGAAGCATCTTCTGGGTATCCATCCTGTCACGTCCCTTCAGAATTGTCCATGTTTCCCCTAACCCTAACCTTCCTATATGTCTGAGATTTGTTAGCAGCTGACCATACTTACAACCATTCTTCAGAAGATAATTCCTTTATCTCAGAAGTTGAGTTGAGTGAACCTGCTGTGAACTGTTTCTAACACAAGAATGTCCTTTTTCAAATTCGGTGACCAAAACTGTACACAACTCCAGATGTGGAGTTTGGCCCACTGAGTCAACACCAACCCTCTGAAGAGCAGTCCACCCAGTCCCAACCTATGCGGTAACTCTGCATATCCCATGGGTGATCCACCTAGCCTGCACATCATTGGACTGTGGGACGAAACCCACGCAGAGACAGGGAGAATGCAAATTCCACGCTGACATTCGCTCAAGGGTGGAATCGAACTTGGGCTCCTAGTGCTGTGAGGCAGCAGTGCTAACCGCTGAGCCGCCATGCTGCCCCCAGACATTAGGGTTTGTCTGGGATTGACAGAGAGGAACAAATTCTATGGATAAAGAATCCAAACCATGAGGGTGGAATAAGGTGACTTTCTCGTGGTTCTTTTAGTTTGTGGCATAGTTACCGACATTGTTGACTGCAGAGCAATATAAAATCCTCAGTTTGGTAGCTGGTCCATTTGACCTTGGTCTTTGCTTGAGTTTGAAGTTGTTCCTTTTAAACCTTGCATGTTTTTATTTAACCTGTTAAGGTGAGAAAGAGGAAGACTTGTTTTTGCTTGTAGGCTTTCTGGAGGTTTGAGTTCAACTGCCTGTTCTCAGGTCTGTGACAAACTGCAATTTAACAATTCAAAAGGTTGTTGCTAGGTAGTTTTTCAACCCAAAAGTATCAAATTTAACTTCTTCAAAAATTACATGACCCTGTCAAATGTGCTCACTTAATGGGAGAGCGGAGGGAGTGGAGCTACCAAATGTCAGTAGCAGTGTTTCATGATAATTACAGTAGCTGGCTGCACTTCATGCACACTTGTCGTTTCTTGCGGGTGTGTTCAGCTCTGATAACTGCTGTTGGAAGACTCTTTTAACACTGCTGCTTTAATACCTGCAGAGTAAGATCCCAGGTTCTCCATTGCTGCTTGTCACTCCCAGTGGACCCATGAATAACATGACGTCTGCCTCACGCAGGAATCGCTTTTGGTTATCTCAGCTGTCCTGTTTGGGAAAGGTTTGTTATCTTCAGAACTCATTATAAGCACAGCGTGAAGAAAATTTCTTGTCTTTGTTAATGAGGGAACTTTACTGCAGCCTTGTTCACTCTACCTCACAGTGGAGACTGCTCAAGATGGCAATTGAAAAATTATTAGTCCCAGTGTCATAATCAACAACAAGGACCTAACAATGGTAGTTCCATTTTCCAGTACATGGTGCTTAGCCTTGTATGCCTTGGCATTGCAAGTTTTATATCTAAATACTCCTTAAATGTTTTCAGAGCATTTCTAGCTGCAACTGTTAGGGACATAGAGTCAAGAGTAGGTCATTCAGCCACTTGAGCTTCCACAATTCAGTAAGATCATGGCTCATGGTCTCACTTGATATATCTGCCTTTGGCCCATATCCCTTAATACCTTTGCTTAACAAGAATAAATCTATCTCAGATTAAAATTAACAATTGACCCTGCGTTCACTGCCATTTGTGGATGAGAGAGTGCTTCCTAACATCTCTCCTAAACAGTTTGGCCCTAATTCTCAGACTGTGCCCCATCACTCTACAATCCCCAACCAGTGGAAATTCTTTATCTTTACCTATCCTGACTTGTCCTGTTACTATCTTGAAGGATTCAATCAGATTGTCCCTTAGCCTCCTAAATTCTGGAGAAAACAGGCTTAATTTATATAATTTCTCCGCATAACTTACTGCCTGTCTCTGGACTTAAGGGGTTAAGTTTCAGATTCATGTCACATGTTGGGTGAAAACATTTTTCCTTGCATCCCCTCCAAACCTCCTGCCTCTTAACTTAAATTCATACCCTTGGTCATTGATCCCTCCCCCAAGGGGAAGGGTTTCTTCACATCTACCCTGTCTGTGCCCCTCAAGTTTTATGACTCTCAGTTATGTCCCTCCTCGGCCACGTCTGCCTCAAGGAAAGCAACTCCAGTCTGTCCAATCTCTTTTCATAGCTAAAACTCTCCAGCTTGATAAACTTCCTCTGCACCCTTCCCAGTGCAGTCACTTCTACAATGTGGATTCCAGAATTACAGATAATTCTCTAGCTGTGGTCTAACCAAGAGTTTTATACTGTTCCAGCATCATCTCCCTGCTCTTAAACACTGTTCCTGGATTAATAAAGGCAAGTATTTCATGTGCCTTCTTATCCACTTTACGACTTCTCCTGCCACCTTAAGGCACTGGTAGACGTGCACACCAAGGTCCCCCTGATCCTTGGTCCTTCCCAAAGTTCTACCTTCATCATGTATTGCCTTGCCTTGTTTGACCTGCCCAAGTGCAGCATCTCGCACTTATCTGGATTGAATTCTATTTGCCACTGATCAGCCCATCTGACCAGCCCATCAATATCCTCCCGCAATGTAAAGCTATCCTCCTCACTATTTACCACCCACCAAGTTTGGTATCATTGGCATACTTACCGATCAGCCCTCTTACATTCAAGTCTAAATCATTTAAATATAATCTCAAACAGCACCAAAATTGATCCCTGCGTAACCTCACTGTGTACAGGCTTCCAATCACAAAAACATCTCACTGTCTGTTTCCTGCCACACAGTCAGTTCTGTGTCCAATTTGCTAAATTTTCTTGGATTTTATCAGCTCTTACCTTTGCTATCTGTCTCCCATGTTGGACCTTATCAAAAGCCCTTGCTGAAGTCCAGGTTGACTGCATCTCTTCAAAAAAGTCAATCGAGTTGGTCAGACATGACCTTCCTTTAACAAGACCATGTTGACTTGTTGATTAATCCTGGCCCCTCCAACTGCAGATTAATTCCATTGCTCAGATTTTCTTTTAAAAGTTTCCTCACCACTGAGGTTAGGATGACAGGCCTATAGTTTCCTGGTTTTTTTCCCTCCCATCTTGACTAATGGTACCACATTAGCTGTTCTCCAGTCCTCTGGCATCTCTCCTTTGGCCAGCAAGGAATTGAACATTATTGCCAGTGCTTCTGTAATTTCCTCGCTTGCCTCACTCAACAACCTGGGATGCATTTCAACCTGTCCTGGTGATTTATCTACTTTCAAGCCTGCCAGACTACTCAGAGACTCCTTTCTTTTTATGCTAATTTCTTCAGTGATATCTCAGGCCTTCTCCCTGATTTCGATACCTACATTGTCCTCCTTGTTAGTGAACACCAATACAAAGTATTCCTTTAGAACCCTACCTATGTCTTCTGTCTCCACACGCACATTACCACTGTAGTCCTTAATGAGCCCTACTCTTGACTTTATGAAATAACTTAGGACTTTTCTATATTTTACCTGCCATTATCCTTTCATGCCTCCTTTTTGCTCTCCTGATTTCCTTTTTAAGTTCCCCCTTGCACATTATGTACCCCTCCAGGGCATCTGCTGTCTGGCACCCATGATATCTGCCATCTGCTATCTCAATATCCAGAGTTTATGGGATTTGTTGGTCCCACCCTTTTATCTTTTTTGGAACATGTTGGCCCTGTACTCTTCCTGTTCCCTTCTTGAATGCATCCTGTTACTCTGTCACAGATTTGTCTAAATGTATTTGCTCCCAGTCCTCTGTGGCCAAATTATACTTGATCTCATTAAAACCAGCTTTCCCCTAGGTGAGAATCTTGATTTCAGGCTCAGCTTTGTCCTTTTCCATAACAATCTCGAATTTAGTGGAGTTATCATCACTGTGTGCAAAATGTTCCCCCACTGATATTTAACCTTTGCTTGGCTTCATTACTAAAATTAAATCCAGGACGGCCCTTCCCGTATAGGACTTTCTACATACTACCTTAAAAGCTCTCTTGGATGCATTTTAAGAATTCTGCTGCCTCCAAATCTTTCACACTATGACAACCCCTTTCAATATTGGGGAAGTTGAAATCCCCTACTATCGCTACCCTATGAATTTTACCCGTCTCTGAAATTTGCCTGTATTTCCATGCTTCTATTTCTCTTGAATTCTTAAGGGGCCTTAGTACACTTCCAACAATGTAATTGTGCGTTTTTGGATTTTAAGTATCATTGTATGTCCTCATGTGATGAGACTTCTAAGATGTTATCCGTCCTCACTGCTGTAGTTGATTCGTTGATCAATATTGTGATACCTCCTCCTCTTTTATCTCCTTTCCTGTCTCACCTGAAAACCCTGTATCCTGGAATATTGAGCTGCCAATCCTGTCCCCCTCTCAATCCTGTCTCAGTTACAGCAATTATATCGCAGCCCCATGTTTTAATTCAGGATGTCAACTTATCTGCCTTGTTCGTCAGACGCCTTGAGTTAAAATAAATACCATTCAGCATTGTAAACTTTTTTGTGCCTTAAACTTGCCTGTAATGTCTATGCCTTGACTCCCTTGCTGTCTCTTCTGATTTTAGCCTTTCATCTTCCTCTACTGAACATTCTGTTTGGATCCCACCTTCCTGCCAAGTTAGTTTAAACTCTCTATAACAAGACCGGTAAACTTCCTTGTCAGGATACTGATCCCATTTCAGTTTAGGTACAACACCTTGTAGATGTCCCACTGCCTCTAAAAATGCCCCCAGTTTTCCGAAAATCTAATTCCCTCCTCCTTGCACCATCTCTTGGGCCATACATTCACTTGAACTAAACTCCTATTTCTTTACTCATTTGAATGTGACACTGGAGATAATAAATTCTATGTGCCAACCACTTCAAAAATGTCTGTGGCATTGTTTAGTCAAGATGGGTGGGCATGGGGAAGTGTTGTACGGTAGTGATGCAGTAACCGAAGTAACGCTGGGCTCAAAGTAGAATGTGAGGGCAGTTGACTATTGTTTTCAAGGATTCAAATGCAAGGAAAAAAGGGTTCAATTTTGGAAGCGAATGTTTCTGTTGACATTACTAAATATACACACAAGGATGCGGTGTAATTCCAGAACATGGCTTTTATGTTGATCACCATGCTTGTTCCGTTCATAAGTTTGAAGAGTTCTTTTTGTCCTCCAGGTTATACCTGTCACCATGCACGTTGTAAATGGGGGCTCAGGAGTGAGTGTGATGCAGTGCCTGGAGCACATGATCGGAGTGGTCCGAGCCAAGATCCTGGAGGTAGGTAAATTGACACCAGGAATGAGAAAGCAGAGTTTGGCAACAAAACGTCTTTGGTCCTTTGGAACTTGAATTTGTCTCTTGTATTCCTTCCTTCCACATTCTAACCGCGGTGTTTTAAATTCAACAATTTATAGAGTCATACAGCTATACAGCATGGAAATAGACCCTTTGGTCCATCTCGTTCATGTCAACCAGATATCCTAAATTAATCTAGTCCTATTTGCCAGCATTTGGCCCATACTCCTCTAAACCTTTCCTATTCATATACCCGTCCAGTATATTTCAAAGGCCTTTCAAACTTGGTAATTGTACCAGCCTCCTCCACTTCCTCTGGCAGCTCATTGCCTACACGCACCACCCTCTGTGTGAAAACGTTGCCCTTTAGGTCCCTTTTAAATCTTTTCCCTCTCACCTTAAACCTATACCCTCTGGTTTTGAACTCCCCCAGCCTGGGGAAAGACCTTGGCTATTTGTCTATTTACCCTATCCATGCCCCTCATGATTTTATAAACCTGTATGACTCTGATGCTTTAGAGAAAATAGCCGCAGCCTATTCAGCCTCTCCTCCTCGCTCAAACTCTCTAGCCCTGGCAACATTCTTGTACATCTTTTCTGAACCCTTTCAAATTTCACAATATCCTTTCCATTAGCAGGGAGACCAGAATTGTATGCAGTATTCCAAAAGTGACCTAAATAATGCCATGTACAGCCTCAACATGACCTCCCAACTCTCATACTCAATGCACTGACCAATAAAGGCAAGCATACCAAACGCCACCTTCACTATCCTGTCTTCCTGGGACTCCTCTTTAAAGGAACTGCGAACCTGCATTCCAAGGTCTCTCTGTTCAGCAACATTCCCCAGGACCTAACCATTAAGTGTGTAAGTCCTGCCCTGATTTGCCTTCCCAAAATGCAGCACCTCACATTTATCTCAATGAAATTCCATCTGCCCCTCCTTGGCCCGTTGCCCATCTGATCAAAGTCCCCGTTGTACTCTGAGGTAACCTCCTTCACTGTCCACTACACCTCCAATTTTGATGTCATCTGCAAACTTACTAACCGTACCTGCTATGTTTGTCTGCAGTACAGATCCAAATCAGGACCTTGATTATGCTTCCCCTGTTCTGTACCTGTAGTGTTTTTCCATTTAGAGTCATATAGTCACAGCACGGAAACAGACCCTTTGGTCCAACTCATCAACATTGACCAGACATCCTAAACTGACCGAGTTCCATTTGCTAGCATTTGACCCAAATCCCTCTAAACCTTTCCTATTCATGTATCCATCCAGATGCCTTTTAAATGTTGTCATTGTACTTGTTCCACTGCTTCCTCTGGCAGCTCATTTCCAGATATGTGCCACCCTCTGCATGAAAAGGGTACACCAGGTCCTATTTAAATCTTTCCCCTCTCACCTTAAATCTCTGTCTTCTAGTTTTGGACTACCCATCCTAGGAAATAGACCTTGACTATTCACCCTATCCATGCCCTCATGATTTCTTCCATTCATGTTTCTTTACTAATATCTTTCAGGCTCACCCCCCTCCTTCACCTTCTCGTAGAATCATAGAAAGTTTACGGCACAAGAAGAGACCACTTGGGCCATCACACCTTTGCCAGTCACCCAGCTGGACCCCAGTTTTCAGCATTTACTTTGGAGTCCTGCAGGTTCTGTTACCAAAGGTGCAAATCCAGAAACCTTTGAACTGCGTTGAGGGTTTCTGCTTCCGCTATTGTTTCAGTCAGTGAATTTCAGACCATGAACACAGTCTGGATGTGAAAAAAAACTTTCCTTATCTCCCCTCTAATCTCTACCAATCACTTGAAGTCTATGCCCCATTGTCACTAATGCTTTCTCTAAGGGAACTAGATCCTTACCATCCACTGTATACAGGCCTCCCTCAATGCTGCTCATCTCAATCAACCCTCCTGTCAGCTCCTCTTGTCCAAGGAGAGCAATCCCAGCAAATCCAATCTTTCTACATGGCTAGACTTTTCATTCCTGGCACCATCTTCGTCAGTCTGCTCTGCATCCTTTTTCCTTTCTGTAACAAAGTGACCAGAATTGCACACAATCTTCAAATTGTGGAATAACTAACAGTTTACACAGTTCCATCATTACCTCCCTGCTCTCTTGGCTACAAAGAGACATTAGGGTTGTTTTCCTTGGAGCAAAGGAGACTGAGGGAGGACATAATCGAGATGTATGAAATTGTGAGGGGCATAAACAGGATGAAACTCCTTCCCTTGTTGGAGGGATCAGTGACCGGAACCATAGATTTGGGGCAAGGGGTTTATAGGGGATATGAGGAAAAAAATTTCACTGAGTGTAAATCTGGAACTCAGTACCTGTAAAGGTGGTAGAAGCAAAAAATACTCATGATGTTGAAAAAGTATTCAGATGTACTGTTATGATGCCTGTGTGTCTCTTTTTCTCTCTTTTCTAGTTGCAGACTCACTTTGCAAGCAGACCAATTGTACTGATCGGTTGGAATGTCGGAGCCATCGTTGCTTGCCATGTAAGGAACCTGAGTTCAGCCTGTTCTGGAAATGGGGAAGTTCAACAATCTCTAGGACTAGTGCCCATACCTTGAACCCTGACCACTGCTGTCAGCAAGGAAAAAACCGCAGCATCTCTTATTTGTGTTGCTTGCTCACAAAGAGAAACATTCCCTTAATTCATAGAGCACTTAATGTTGAGTGAGAAGTGAAAGGATTTTTTGAAGAGGGAGAAAATTTTCAGTTGTTGAAACAATGGGGAAGAAGTTTGTGCCAGGTCAGCAATGGTTGAACAGGCGGTAATCCGGAGTCAGGGGTTGGGGACAGGCAGAAATCTCAAATCAGGGATTGGGAATAGGCGGGGTAAAGGTAGTTGTCTGCAGTCAGGAATTTGAAATTGGTGGTTATTTAAAGCCAGGGATTGGGGGCAGGCAGTTTTCTGGAGTTTGGGATTGGGGATAGGCAGAAATGCAGAGTCAAGGATTAGGAATGGGCAGTAATCCGGAGTGAGGGATTGGGAACATGCAGTATTCTGGAATAGGAACAGACAAATCTTGTAATCTGGAGTCAGGAATTGGGAATTAGCAGTAATTCAAAGTCAGGAATTGGAAAAATGCAGAATTCCAGAGTCCTGGCAATAAATGCAGAGTTTGGGGTGGCAGAAACTGTCTCCAGCTGTGCCCTGTGTCTGAAGTAAGTACACGGGAGCCTGAGTTAAGTGTGGACTTTGATGTTGGTGCTTCTTAGATCTAGAAACTGCTGGAGCTGTCCCCAGTTTAGTTCACACATCCTGAGTCAAATGGGCACAGTCAGCTCTCAAGTGGGGAGAACGGGTCGTCTGCCTGGCATAAACTTGTGCAGTGCATGGACAGGTGATGAGGTCATCATGAGGGAGCCCCTCACAACCCTGTTCTAACATGCTTGCTGGTTGGATCACAGGATAGTCTGGCTGTTTTCTGTTCCCTCCACGGGCATCGTTGATGAATGTAACATTGATTCTCTTTGTGAAAAGTGCTGTTTCCATACACTGAAATCTCTGGGGCAGTTAGAGAGGGAAACCTGGGCAAGTACTATTTCTAGCCCGCGTTGGTATGTCGTTGAATGTTTGCATTAGTCTTGGTGTAATGCTCATGAGCTTGAAATGTTCTGCAGTGCTTCTTAGACAATGAAATCCTTTGTTGAGCTGTATGAAATGCTCTCTGAAGTTACCAGTCGTGTTTCTGTGCAGGTCTCGATGATGGAGTTCATCTCAGCTGTTGTCTGCCTTGGGTTTCCTTTGCTCACTGTTGAAGGACCGAGAGGAGTAAGTATCAAATCATTTTAATTATTTTTGTTACAAGTACTGACCTTGACAGTGAAACTACTCTTTAACTTCAAAAAATATTCCGTGGGAAGATACTCTACATATTTTCAAAGTTTACAAGGATGTCTCCAAGACTGGAGGGTTTGAGTTATAAGGAGAGGCTGGATATGCTGCGACTTTTTTTCCCTGGAGCATAGGATGCTGAACGGTAACCTTATTGAGGTTTAGAAACTCATGAGGGGCATAGGTGAGGTGAATAGCAAAGGTCGTTTCCCTGGGGTAGGGGAGTCCGAAACTACAGGGCGTAATTTTAAGGTGAGAGGAGAGATTTAAGAGGGACCTGAGGGGTAACTTCTTCACATGGAGGGTAGTGTGTGTATGGAATGAGCTGCCAGCTGAGGTGGTAGAGGCAAGTATAATTACAACATTTAAAAGACATTTGGACAGGTACATGGGTAGGAAAAGTTTAGAGGGATATAGGCAAAACGCAGACAAATGGGACCAATTCAGTTCAGTAAACCTGTTTGGCATGGATGAGTTGTGCCAAAGGATCTGTTTTTGTGTTGTATGACTATTAGTTAAAGAATAAAGCATTTTCTAAGCCCCTAGGGCGGGTACAGCACACAGTTAGGTACAGAATAAAGCTCCCTTTCCAATGTTCCATCAAACATTTCCAGGGCTAAGTAACATGGTTTGGGTTAGTTAGTTAAAGACCACATTTGAGTTTAGGGTTGTTAATTAGTTAGGATTCATTAAGTGTTGGAAAGGGAGATGTGTGAAATGGAAACTAAGATTCCTGAGTTTGTTAAAGCTAATTGCAGCACAGTCATCCAGATAATCTTCATATGAAAGTGGACCGATCTGTTAATGGATAAAGCTGCAGAAGATAAGTTAATGTGACCTAAAGCTAGTTCATTCATCCTCAGTGGAGCAGTGCTAGTTTGGCAAAAAAAAGCTGATGACAACAGTTCAGAGGGAACATAAATCTTGACAGAGCATTCAGAATGCAAGAATACCTCAGTGCTGGCAAGTAGGCCAGGGATGACCCAACAGATAACCAGCTACAAAAAGGAAATATCAAAGTCTTGTAAGGGATCTCATAGTCCACAGTAAAAAGTGTTTACAATTATATTGGGGAAGAAGAGGGTGTTTGGCTTTAATGCTAATCTCTTCAAAACTGATACCTGGAAAATTGGCTGGTAATATATTAGCATTGAACATTTGCATGGCCATGAAGAAAAGGTGGGGCAGTTGGATGAGATGAGATGCCCTTAAGGAGAGCCAGCACAATACATGTGTACCCAAATGATTGCCTCTTGTGCTGTGATCATTCTGTGATTTGAATTTGAACCCTAGGTCTGAGTCCGTAGCTGAGGTAGATGACAGCATATTTAAAAAGTTTGCAAAGTTCCCTTTGTGCTGTGAACCGTCCTTTTCAGTTAAAATGTCGTGCACGTCAATTGATTTCTCTAAGTTGAGAGAGCAGAGCTAGGGAACTGTATACCTGTTCACCTAATATCAGTTGTCCAGAAACTACACCAGTCTGTAATTCAACCTGGCTATACACCTTGCTAGAGCCAGTGTGAATGTGAAAAGGGTAAACCATGCCTCTTGAATTTGATAGATTACTTTGAAAGGTAACTTGAAGAGTAGACAGAGACTGTCTATACGTGTTAATGTATGGATTCCTGGAAGGTAGTGATTAAATCCCTCTTCTCAGGCCATTAGCTGAAGTTGAAGCTCACGGAAGTGAAGGCAAAGATTGGCCTGGTTCACGGTGCAGCTGGGCAGCAGGAGACAGAGTTACTCCAAATGAGCATTGTGACCAGGGGTATGCCACAATGATCTGTCTTCCTGCCTGAACTACTATTTGTTTTATTTATCAACAATATGGATGATGGGTGCAAAAACTATGTATTGAGATCAGCAGAGACTAACTGTGATTGCCACATGAGGCAATGATAGGCAGCACTGAAATAGTACAGATAGAAAATGAAATTCTGAAGAGATATTGATGGAGTAAGTGAATGAACAAAGTTGACAAAATGGATCTCAATTTATGCAGCTGAAGCTGTCCACTTTGAACTAAAGTTTAGTACAGAGTATAGACTAAATAGTGACAAACTACAAACTCTACCAGTCCAAAGAGACTTGCAGAAGAGTCATGAAAGAGATAGAAAATAATCAAAAATCAGACTGCTGTCCTTTATATCAGGAGGAATGATATACAGGGGGTTTCACTTCAGCTATCCAAGGTCCTGGTTAGACTCCACCTGGAATGCTGAGAGCTACTCAAAGAGCCATCCTTAGGAACGGATATTTTAGCCTCTGAGGTAGTGCAGAATAGGTTTACCAAAACGATAGCTGACCTCCAGTTGTTGTTGGGAGGAGAGATTGTAGAAACTATGGTTTTGTTGTCTAGAATTCTGAAAGTTGTGTGATGATTTAATGAAATCTTAAATTAAGGGGATAAATAGGATTTGTGCAAAGAAGTTTTTTCAGTTGGCTGAGGAAACTAGAAATTGTTGTAGTACTAAAATAATTAGAACATAATCGTTCTGAAATGAAAGTCAGAAGCACTTTAATGCAGAAAGGAGGTTGAAGTTTGCAACTGTCTTGTGAAATAGGTAATTACTGGTAGATCAGTTCTAAAGTTTAAACCAGTAGTAAATTATATGGCAGTGGAAGCTTAGCTATTGTATCACTGAGGGGAAGTACCAGCTTGAGTGGCTGAATGGCCTGCTCCTCTTTTTTTATGCTCTAATTTCTGTTACTGAAAGATCTGAAGAGTTACTGGTCAAAAGTGGGTAGTTGGAGGTAGGCTATTGATCATTGACAGGTCATGGCACAGTACATTAGCTTCTCTATTTGCTTCAGGGAAGTTCGATTCAAAGTTGCATGCAATTTTTGAGGGCCATCCTGTAGTTTGTAACCCAGGTGCTAAATGTCCAGAATTTCGCCATCAGGATGTTGATGACCCATTACTGGATATGAAGACTCCTGTCTTATTTGTGATGGGGCAGAACTCAGTTCAGTGCAATACTGACGCCATTGAGGATTTCCGGGAGAAGATTCGAGCTGAAAACAGTCTGGTGATAGTTGGAGGCGCAGATGACAACCTCAGGTACTTGTGTAACTTCACTCATGCTCGTTCTGTTGTCTGATGTGGCTCAGTGGGAGCACTTGCTTCCCAAGTGAGATATTCAAGGGTTCACATAGCCCTCCAAATATGACAACTGAGAAACTATGCTGACGTTACCAGTGCATGAATGAGAGAATGCCGCACTGTCGGAGGGCCAGTGCTGAGGGAGCGCCGCACTGTCGGAGGGTCAGTGCTGAGGGAGGTTTTTATAATCACTTGTGGGACATGTGTATCACTGGATCACCAGCACTAATTACCATTCCTAGTTGCCCTTGAGAAGGTGGTGATCAGCTGTCGCCTTGACCCATTGTAGTCTCTGTGCTAAAGTTTGACCCACAATGCCCTTAAGGAGGGAATTCCAAGGTTTTGATCCAGTGAAAGAATAGCAATATATTCCCAGTCAGGATGTGAGTGGCTTGGAAGAGAACTTGCAGGTGGTGGTGTTCCCATATATCTATTACCTTTGCCCTTGGAGAAGAAAGTGGTCATTGGTTTGGAAGATGCTTTCTAAGGATAATGAGCATTTTGGATGTGGTGCCAATCAAGCAGGCTGCTTTGTCCTGAATGCTGCCAAGCTTCTTGAGTGTTGTTGAAGCTGCGCTCCTGGCCTGTGCCTTGTCGATGGTGGACTGGCTTTGGGGAGTCAGGAGGTGAGCTACTCACTGCAGTACTCCTAACCTCTGACCTGCTTTTGAAGCCACTGTATTAATACAGTAAGTCTAGTTGATTTTCTGGTCGATGGTGATACCCCAGGATGTTGGGGGATTTAGTGATGGTAACAGTATTGACTGTCAAGAGGTGGTGGTTAGATTGTCTCTTACTGGCGATGGTTATTGCCTGGCACTTTACAGTGTGAATGTTACTTGCAACTTGTCAGCCGAAGGCTGAATATTGTCCAGATCTTGTTGTACTTGAACACGGACTGTTTCAGTATCTGAGGAGTCACGAATGGTGCTGGACATTGTGCAATCATCGCCAGCATCCCCACCTCTGACCTTATGATAGAGGGAAGGTCACTGAGGAAGCAGCTAAAGATAGTTGGGTCGAGCGCACTCCCCTGAGGAACTCCTGCAGAGATGTTCTGGTTGTGAGATAATTGATGTCCAATGACCACAGCCATTTTCCTACATGCCAGGTATGACTCCCACCAGTGGAGAGCACCCCACCCCCCCATTCCCATTGATTCCAGTTTTTGCCAGGGCTCTTTGATGTCACATTCTGAATGCAGCCTTGATGTCAAGGGCTGTCACTCTCACTTCACCTCAGGAATTTAGCACTTTTGTCCATGCCTTGACCAAAGGCTGTAATGAGGTCAAGAGCTGAGTGACCCTGGCAGAACCCAGTCTGAACATTCGTGAACACACTGTTGCTGAGCAAGTGTTGTTTGACAGCACTGTTGATGACCTGTTGCATCGCTTTACTGATGATTGAGAGTAGACCGATGGGCAGTGATTGGCCAGGACGGATTTGTTCTTTTTATGTACAGGATGTATCTGGGCAATTTCCCACATTGTTGTGTAGATGCCAGTGTTATAACTGCAGCTTGGCTAGATGAACAGCAAGTCCTGGAGCACAATTCTTTGGTACTATTGCTGAAATATTGCCAGGGCCCTTAGCCTTTGCTGTATCCACTTCCTCCAACTGTTTCTTGATATCACGTGGAATGAATCGAATTGGCTGAAGACTGAATATTTGTGATGCTGGGTATCACTGGATAGGCTGAGATGGATCATCCACTGGAACTGCTGGCTGAAGATTGCTGTGAGTGCCTCAGCCTTATCTTTTGTACTGAATCTGTTGTGTTGTACTGTTCTGTCATTGAGGATGGGGATATTTGTGAAGCTGCCTCCTACAGTGAGTTGTTTAATTATCCACCACCATTCATGACCAGCTTTGATCGGATCTGGTTATGGCATTCCTTCATTCCGCCTGTCACTTGCTGCATATGCTGTTTGGAACGCAAGCACTCGTGTTTGATAGCCTCACCAGGTTGAGACCTTAGTTTTAAGTATGTCTGGTGCTGCTCCTTAAGTGGCTCTCCTGCACTTTCCATTGAACCAAGATTGATCCCCTGGCTTGATGGTAGTGGTTGAGTGAGGGATATGCTGGGCCATGAGGTTACAGATTGTGCTGGAGTACAATTCTGCAGCTGTTGATGGCCCACAGTGCCTCACCAATACCCAGTCTTGAGTTGCTAGATCTGTCCGAAGTCTGTCCCATTTAGCACAGTGAAAGTGGCACACAACATCATGGAGTGCGTTCTCAATAGGAAAGTAGGATTTTGTTTCCACAAAGACTGTATGATGGTCACTGTTATTGATACTGTCACGGACAGGCACATCTGCAGCCGGCAGACTGGTAAGGATGAGGTCAACCACGTGTTTTCCCTGCACTGTCGGAGGGTCAGTGCTGAGGGAGCGCCGCACTGTCGGAGGGTCAGTGCTGAGGGAGCGCCGCACTGTCGGAGGGTCAGTGCTGAGGGAACGCTGTGCTCTCGGTGGGGGTGAGGAGTGGGGTCACCGCTGTGGGGTGGGGTGGGAGGGGGGGGGGTGGTGGTGGTGGTGGTGGTGGTGGTGGTGGTCAGCGGTGAGGGAGCGCTGCAGTACTATGAGTCAACCTAATCGCTGAGTCTCTCTTCTCTGCAAACTGTTGCTTTGTTCATCTTTACTTTCTCCGATCACTCCTCTCAAGCCAAGGAGCTGAAATTTGGTGTCTGAGCCCTCTTGTGATGAATCCCACACAGGCAGGAAAGGTCCAAAGGGGAAACCAGCTGAAGAGAAGCCTGTGAGAAGGCGGGTGTTCCTGGGTGTGGTGGTTGATGGGATGGAAGGGGTGACCTGGAAGGTGAATGTGAACTGTGTACAAAAATATCCATGTTTCCTCATTATAGGATTAACAAAGCAAAGAAGAAGACAGAGGGTCTGACGCAGAGCATGGTGGATAGGTGTATTCAGGTACGCACTCCCTTTGTTTCTCACGCCAAGGGATTCAGGAACACTCCTTTCTCTCACTGGCCCATATATTTGAACACACCTCACTCCAAAGTACCTCGAAACACTCAGTCTCGCATCCAAACTCGGCAGTCATTCACAAATTATTACACACGTGTGCTGTCATTCTCACATGCACACACTGACTTTCACTCAGTTACAATCACACACTGTGTGCTTTTACTTGGGTGCTGTCTCACTTGGATTCCCCTGCTCCACACAGTTTTGTTTTTATGCAGCTTCTGACATTATGACATAAGAAAGCCATTCAGGTTCCACCTCTTCACATATTCTTGCCAGCTTGGTCTGCAGGCCTATATAATGTATATATAAAGGGAAGTTATTAATGGCTGTTTCTGGATCTTTTAACCTCAGGATGAAATCGGTGATTTTCTGACTGGTGTTCTAAACAAGAATGAAGCACAGTCAGGGACTGAGACGAAAGATGTGGATGCAGACAAGAAGAGGCGCTGTCGGGATGCTCGTAGGGACCTGGCCTTTGAGCTTCCAGAGCGAAGTAGCCGTCCCACGTCTCCTTTCAGTCGAGTGCCAGCTTCTCCCTCTGGTTCCGAGGTGAATTACTCAATTGTTACTATTCCCACAGAGACAAATAACATGGAATTAAATACAGTTTCCACATGACACAGTGGGAAGAAACTGATGGGCAAGATTTCAGTTTGTAAAATGATCACGGTACCAACAAAACCAGATACAATATAATTTAAGCATTAATTAACAGGCTAATGATCATTCAGAGAGAAAAGAAAATTTCACTTTAAATCATCGCAATAACAAAGGTACTTGGGGTCGGGGAGTGGTGTATATAGCATGAACTCGGATCCCTCTGTACTTGCTATGTGGATGTTCTCTTTCTCCAGTCACACAGGAAGTGTGTTCAAACCACATTCAAATTTCACAGATTCTCAAAACTCTCATCCTTCCCAACCTTTGGTGGTCGATTTGCAGAGTTTGTCTTTTTAGCCTCCTTCCCTTACTTGCCCAACTTCCCACCTGAGTTGCCTTGCAACCATGGTTTCACAATCCTGTCCTGTTCTCGGAGAATTCTCCCTGGTTCTCTAATAGGAGACTTGCGTCAGTGTTGTCTCCTTGGACCCACTGCAACTCATATCTGATTCCCTTTTTGTTGCATTTGATCATAGGAACAAGGAACAGGAGTGGGCCACTCAAGCCTGAGCTGCCATTTTATGAAGTCATGGCTGATATGATTGTAATCTCAAATCCACATTCCCATCTACTCTTAATAATCATTCACCCTCTTACCTATCAAGAATCTATGTACTTTTGCCTCCAAAATTTTCAAGGACTCTACTTCCACCGTCTTTTCAGGAAGAGAGTTCCAAAAAATCATGACCTTCTTGATAAACATTATTGTCTAATTCTCTGTTTTAAGTGGGTGAAACCTTGTTTTAATCAGTGATCCCTTGTTCTTGATTCTCCCAGAAGAGGAAACATTCCCTCCACATTCAAATTGTCAAGACCCCTTAGGATTTTGTACATTTCAATCAAGTCACCTCTTACTTTTCTAAAATTAAGTGATACAAACCTAGCCTGTTGAACTTTTCCTCATAAGATAGTCCACCACATTCCACAAGTGGACGTCTGCAGGTCTCAATGTTTCACAGTTAAACAATGGTAACTGGGATGAGGGAAGTGAAGATATGGCGGCTGAATTTGTAAAGAGATGTGGGAAAGTATGTTGTGAAGACAATGTAAGTTATTTTTTTTTTACAACAGAGATGAGTTTTGTTATCTCTGAGCGTTTTGCAAGTTTTGAGGTTTGTTTCAGAAGACAGTGTAAAAGGGTCATTGATTATATTTACGGTAAAGGTAGATTGTAGCCACTTGGAAAAACAAAGATTAAGGGGGACAGATGTAAATGGAGAATTTGAAACACAAACATGTTAACCTTGATCTTACTGAAATGTGGACAGACATGAGGGGCTAAATTGCTGACATCTGCCATTTAGTACATTGGCTTTTGGATGTTGTCATCTTCAAACAATATCAAGTGAGGTTAGAGTGACAGCTCTTGACATCAAGGCCGCATTTGACTGAGTGTGGCATCAAGGAGCCCTAGCAAAACTGGTATTGGGGGCAAACTCTGCAACAGTTAGTCATACCTGGCACATAAAAAGGTGGTTGTGGTTGTTGGAGGTCAGTTATCTCCGCTTCAGGACATCTCTGCAGGAGTTCCTCGGGGGAGTGATCTAGGCCGAAACATCTTCCACTGTCTCATCAATGACTTTCTCGTCATCATATGTTCAGAAGTAGGCATGTTCGCCAATGATTGCACAATATTCAGCATCGTTTGTGACCCCTCTACTGAAGCAGACCATGTTCAAATGGAACAAGGTCTAGACAGTATCCAGGCTTGGGCTGACATATATCCAGTAGCATTAGTGCCATACAGATGCCAGGCTATGACTATCTTCAATAAGAGACAATGTAATCACTGTCCCTTGACATCCAATGGTGTTGCCATCACCTGATCTCCCACTGTCAACAGCCTTGGGGTTACCGTTGATCAGAAACTCGACTAGCCTGGTCACATAAACGCATGGTCTACAAGAGCAGGTCAGAGGCGAGGAATACTCTGGCGAGTATATCACCTCCTGACTCCCCAAAACCTATCTGCAATGCACAAGTCAGGAATGTGATGGAATACTTCGCACTTTGACTGGACGAGCGCAGCCTCAACAACACTCAAGAAGCTTGATACCATCCAGGACAAAGCTGCCCTGCTTTTTTGACCCCACACCCACAAGCATCTACTCCCTGCACCACTGATGCTCAGTAGCAGCAGTGTGTACCATCTACAAGGTGCATTGCAGAAATTCACCAGAGATCTTTAGACAGCACCTTCCAAACTTTCAGCCACTTCCAACAAAAAGGACAAGGGCAGCAGATACATGGAAGCACCACCACCTTCAAGTTCCCCTCCAAACCACTTACCATCCTGAGGTGGAAATATATTCATTCACTGTCGCTTGGTCAAAATCTAGGAATTCCTCCCTGAGGACATTATGGTCGACCCACAGCAATTGCACTACAGCAGTTTATGGCGGCAGCTCACCACTTTGTCAAGGGCAACTAGGGACCGACCATAAAACGATGGACAGCCTGCGATGTCCATGTCACACAAGAAACAAAAAAGGCTCAAGTTTAACTTCTCTGCAGTAATTCCATACCCAAGAACTCATTAATCCCTCCTTTTCGGAATGAACTTAGTTTGCTTTACAGAAATCCAGGCTTTGGTAAATCATGTTGTTTGCTGCATTGTCACCTCAATTATCCGTCACCTCTGTGATCACTGATCTCCACCAGCTTAACATTAAGAACCCTTCCTGACTTGACTATCTCGAGCATTCCTCCAACTTTGAGATTTCTGCATTCCTCCAATTCTGACCCTGACTGCAATCTGAATTTTCATCTCTCCAGGAATATGTGAATGCATCAGATGGTCTACAGAGGAGGTTCATGAGAACAGTTAAAAGTAACGTCACCATAATCTTGCTGGACCCGACGGCTTCTCATTAGAGAGAGACAGCTGGTGGTGGTTTAACCTGAGGGTCACCATGCCTCAGGTGAGGGGAAGGTTGAGACAGAGAGTCCTTCATTGTAACCTTGCACAATGTAAGAGTTGAACCCACGCTGCATTGCAAACTGGAAGTCTAAGCTAACTGACTCTGCAGTTACAGGGATTAGGAAAATCAGTTCTGAAGAAAGATTGGAGAGGTTGGAGCTGTTCTTCTTGGAGAGAAGACTAAGAGGAGATTTACCAGAAGTTTTCAAAATCTCAAACGATCTAAACACAGTGTACAGGGAGAAACTAATCCCGATCTTAAACAAATTAGGAATGAGAGGCCACTGTTTTAAAGTGATTTGTGAAGAAATAAAAGTGATATCAGAAAAAACTGTTCCATGCATTGTATGGTTCAGGTCTGAAATACCTACCTGGCAATGTGAGGGGGATAGGTTCATGGAAGACATTCAAGATGGCATTGGATGATTGATTAAATAGAAATAATGTGCAGGATGACAGTGAAAGAGAATGGCATTAAGTCATAATGCTTGCTTGGAAGGCTGTTAAGGATTAATGCAGGGTGATGGGCCAAATGCTGACTTTTGCCCAGTAACAATTGTGGATCGACAGATAATGGCTGTGCCTTCAGCGCCCTTAGCTTTGGAAATGCCCCCGGGGATCTTCTTACCACTTTCCCCCCTTGACAGTGCTTCCTGAAAGTTACCACTTTATTGTGTACGGTTCTGAAGGATGAGGATTCTTTGGAGAGGGTACTGAAATGGTTTACCAGGATGTTGCCTGGTATGGGGGATTTTTGCAATGAAGAAAGGTTGGGTAGACTGGGTTTGTTTTCATTGGAATGCAGGAGATTGAGGGGCAACCTGATAGACATTTATAAGATTGTGAATGGCATGGATAAAGTGGAAAGTATGAGGCTTTTTCCCAGGGTGGAGGGATCAATTACTAGGATCAAGGTGCAGGGGGTGGGGCAGTTTAAGAGATGTACACGTTTTTCACACAAAGGGTGGTGAGTGCCTGGAACACGTTGCCAGAGGTGGTGGTGGAAGCAGACACAGTATCAGTATTCAGGAAGGACCTGGACAAATATATGAATAGGAAGGGGATTGGGGGATACGGATCCTGTAAGTGAAGACAGTTTTAGTGTGGAAGGGCAAAATGTGTCGGCGCAGATTTGGTGGGTGAAAGGCCTGTTCCTGTGCTGTATTGTTCTTTGTTTGAGGGCTTTGGGCAGTTCCTCACGGCATTTAGTCGTTGTTCTCTGGAAGCTGGAATTTTCAATCTGGGACCTTTGTGCTGCTGTGACTAATCTGGGGAGCAATCACAATATAACAATAATTCTGCACTGCCGGAGGGTCAGTGCTGAGGGAGCGCCGCAATCAATGTTGCTCAGAGTTTTTAAGCCAATGCCCTCTTAGTTGGTTATGAGATAAATGTGAGCTCTGCTACTATCTCTAAGAAGGTAGGATTGCTGCACTGGCATAAGTACTGTATTCAGGCAGAGTTTAACTCCTGAGATAACAAGGTGTAGAGCTGGATGAACACAGCAGGCC